GGGACCCCGGACCGGGCCGCGCGGTGTCGCCGGCAGTCAGTGCTCGCTGTCAGCCCCGTCCCGTCGCACGGCACCGTTAACTCTCAGCGCTCCGTTTGCTGCCGGTCCCTACACCCACAGCACACCCAGCGCCCACCTCCCTCCATCCCCAGTGCTCCTGCTGCACCTTGCACGCGGAGCCCAGGAAAACAGGCACCCCGTGGAAAACTAGGGACCCACACAAATATTTCTCTGAAATATTGCTGTTTGCCACGGTCCTGTGGTATCAGACAAATATAATAGCAGGAATTCTCTATAAGCAGAGTTTTCTATATACTGATCTCAGATTAGTGGATTTCAGAAACATGATGTTTAAATTCATGTCATTTTCGTGTCAGTGTATATATGTGTGTCTCTGGGTATGGAATGTATTAGATTTAAACTATGTTCCAGCTCTTACTTGAGGAATATCATTTTGGTAGTAGTTAATTATGTTAATGCCACAATTTTCCCTTATGTTTTCTCATATTATGTTTACATGTATGGCTACAGTAAAAGCAAATTCTGTTTCCTGACTCTGGGCCTCCATTGCCCTGACTCGAGGCAGGTTGGCACAAGGGCTGAGTGCTAGTATGGGTTTGCTTTTTTGTTTTAATTCAAAAAGTGATGGGGAAATGGGCCCAGGAGGCAGTAGGAAAGGTGTGTATGACAAGCATCTAGGCTCCAGGGCTCTCCAGCAGGGTCCTGTAGAGCAAGGTCAGTACAGGGAAGGGCAGTGGCAGCAGCAGACAGTTCACACTCTTGCCAGGCACCAGCAGCAAGGAGATGGTGGCTCCCCTGGAAAGGCACCAGTACGGAGCAGCATGGCACTGCTGGCCCCCAGTGCCTCCCCATCCACAGCTAAGGCAACATGGCAATGTCCAAGCCAGCTCAACTTCAGCTCCTGCCCCAGAGCTCTGCTTCTGGGAATCCAGTCACCTCTCCCACCTCGCTGAAAGGCTGCAGGCCCTGTGTGAACACCAGTCTGTACCTCAGTCGGATGGGATCCTGTGGGAGAAAGGCAGAGAGAGAGGCATGTCACGATTACAGACTCCTGGGCCCCATCAGTCTCACCCCCTACAGCCTTGCTGCAGGGAGTCACCCTCTGAGAGGGGACAGTAATGCCAGCCTTGCAGAAGCTCTGCACAGAACAAGACCTGGACCTTCCAAAGATACACAAGCAGCTATCAGAGACCTGTGCAGGTATGTTGGCAACAAGAGCATGTTGGCAATCCAGGCCTGTCCAACCTTCTCACAGGGTTCCTTACAGCAATCTTGGGTCTCATAATTATCCACCAGTGCAACAGAACCGCCACCCATCACTTGTGCCCCGGGTGGCCTAGTGTTCCACCAGCTGCCAACACTTGCAGTGTGTGCATGGAGCTGTCTCTGTGGGTCCCTGCAGCAACTGCCCACCCAGCCCTTCGGAACCTAGCTCTGGAAAGCTGTTTCAGTGGGAAAAACATCTTCCCAGCACAGCCCAGCTGCTCTGTTTCTCCCTTGCCTCTCCCCATCTTTCGTCTAACAACCCCCAGGGACAGTCCTGGTGCCCCAGCAGGCCCCACACACCTTGTGTGGGTTGGCGAGCAGCAGCACCTGGGACACCACTGCAGGTGGGAGGAGGGGGCTGAAGGCTGGCAGCTCAGAGCCAGAGGCTGGCTGGAGCTTTATTTTCATGCTCTGAAAGAGAAAACAAAGGGAACACTTTTTAGTCCATGCTGGAAAAGGGATGGGAGTATTACTGAGCCACAGAGTTGGTTAGATACATCAGCCAGACTTAGTCATTCAGTGAAAGCACAGCTCTCCACAGCCTGCATCTAAGGGCAGATACTCCTAAACAGCCAGTGCCATGCTGCACTTGAACAGGCAGCACCGAGCCTTATCCAGGAGGCTGAGGCAGCTGGTCTGGAGCCCTGTGTGGCTATAGCAAGCCTAGGGATATGCTCTGTGAAACAGGCACTGGTGCCTCAGGCACCACCATAAAACAGGTTCTCTGTGCAGAGACAGGAAGCCATGCAATTTCCTGTAAGTAAGGCAAATACTTGGCAAGAAACGGCAAACCTTTTCCTCAGGACATTTCTGAGCATCTCTGCTTCTCACCTTTGGGACTGCAGCCTGGAATGCTATGTCCTTAATGGGGTGGGCTGAGGTGCTCAGCATTGACAGAACCATCACCAGCACATCTGGCCGGCCTGGAGCTGGGTCTCTGGAGAAGTGGAGCATGACCTTGAAACCATTCCTGTCATACACAGTGAGTGGACAGACACTGCCTGCCAGGGACAAAAGGAGAATCAGAAAAAAAGCCTGGATTCCCATCCCGTCTGAGGGCAGAACAGGAAAGATGAGATAAGGAATAGCAAAAAGAAACTTGCAGACAAACTTCCTCCAGCAAACTCACAGACCAAGCAGCATACAGCACCTGCCCTGATTTACATTTGCCTCTAAGGCCAAGACAGGAATCTGAATGTCTGCACTGGGGATTTAGCAGCTCAGATCTCATAAGTCAGCGAGAGATGTCAGGTGTGGATCCAACAGAGAGATGATGCGAAAAGCACACACTAGACTTACCACCATTGCCTGGCAAACCCACACCTGACTCACCATGCAGCCCTTCCAAAATGTGCTAAGTCATTCACTCAAGACTGAAGGCAGAAGACAACCAGGTCAGGATGTCTTTGCACTTGTCCTCCCTCCTCCAGCAGCAGTGAGGACCAAGCCTCTGTTAGCAGAATGTGCCTTGGGCTGAGCCCCTGGGGCAACACATACCCAGGTAATGCTCCGGGAAGGGGTTGCAGGGCTGGGCCATACAGTGTGAAATCTAACAGCAGAGGTGGAATGAACAGCTGTGCTTTAGGAAGTGGGACAACTCCCACTCACAGGTGTCTTTTAGGCCCCTGTACAGAAACTGCTTTAAGCTTGAAGGAAGGTGCTAGGCCAGAGAGTTTAGAAGCACACTACAAAGATTAGCCAGGGCAGGAAACTCCCGACCAACAAGTAGGGAGGGCAAGGGCATTTCCATACTGTGATCCCTAACACCTACTCACTTCTCAGATAGATTAAGTCTTTCATAGAACAGTCATTACTTGTCTCCAGCCAACCCAAACAACATGAAGCTACTTTGGCTACGAAGCAGAGCTGGAGCACAGAATGATTGCACTTACTTGGTGTAATTGAAATTAAAGGGACAAAAAGGTTTCTTAGAGAAGCAACACAGGAAGCTGAATGCAAAGAGGCAGCAGGCTTCAGCTCACAGCCTGGACTGAGGAGTGGAGGATCTGTCATTGAGCTGTTTGGAAGATCTGGAAAGGGCAATTTCACTGGTGATAAATCCCTAGAAAGAAAAGCATGTAGAAAGCTTGTATTATCTGCCCTGCCTGTATTCCCAGGCCCTCATCTCCTTTAGGTATAAAGAAACTGCAGCCTTACACTCTCTGAGCTCTTGAGAAATTCAACAACTCTCTCTATTTAATACAGATGTTGCTGTTTCAGCATTCATCAAGACAGATTTTGGTCCTGATACTACAGTGAAACTTAGTTTTTAGGGCTTGGGAAGTCTGCCCTCCCTGTGTACTGCCTGTATTCCCAGGCCCTCATCTCCTTTAGGTATAAAGAAACTGCAGCCTTACACTCTCTGAGCTCTTGAGAAATTCAACAACTCTCTCTATTTAATACAGATGTTGCTGTTTCAGCATTCATCAAGACAGATTTTGGTCCTGATACTACAGTGAAACTTAGTTTTTAGGGCTTGGGAAGTCTGCCCTCCCTGTGTATAGCTTCCCTGGAGCCCTAGTCAGGGAGGTTAAAGTAAATTCCAGCTCAAACACATTGCAAGAAGCTGGGAATCTCCAGTAAAATCTCCTGCACCATGGCAGAGTGGATAAACATGTCATGATGGTCCCTGCACTGAAGATCTGTGGATGATTAATTTGGTTCATGAACTGTTCCACTGAATGCCTGGAAACTGCTTTGTCACAGTCTGGAGAAAGCTGAGGAAAGTACTTTATGAGTGACAGGTTATTATAAAAAGGCCTGACTGTAAGGGTTTTGTTCTTTAGTTCAACATCACCTTGTTACCAAGAGATGGGATTTGTCTCCCCAAGTTTCTGACCCTTGCAAGGTCCTGGTGTTACACAAAATGCCATTTACAGGTGCAGGAAAGTGCCAATGTGTGGATGGATCACTTGCCATCACTAACCAGGGGCAGCTGAAAGGTGTTCCTAGACCTCCCTGCTGTAAAACAGCATTCCTCAGCCCCAAAGTCTGACTGTGTTATGCAGAGTTCACTTACAAAGAGAATGTCTTGGACGTGGATGGTGGAGAGAGCT